GTCACTTGAGCCATCGGACGTTGCCAAATTTCCTTCACAAAAAAACAAAATTCTCGGGGTTTTTGGGGATACTTTACTTGAAATTCTTCAGAAAGTTTTATTCGTCATTTGACGTACAGTATACGACACTTTCAGGGAAAAATGTCCATATCAACAACCACTTCTACGAGTAAATATTTTACACAGGAAATTTGCAATTCGGAACTATAAATTCTGGCCCGGTTTAAAAACAACGCATGTGCGATTAGTTTCGCTACGCACACGAGTGTTTTTTCGAATGAGCCAGAATTTACAGTTCCAAATCGCAAAATGCAGTCCAATTTGGCAACATGCAAAAGTTCATACTACGTTTTCCCCGAGGATGGCGCGGTGGCAAGAGCGGGTGGATGCGCGGGCCGGGGTGACGTCATCGTTCCCCGAAGCGACAAGATGGTGGGCGTGCGAAACGGGGAATGGGGGTCGGTCGGTGAAGGCCAGAGGGGGAGTGGGCGCCCGGGGGGTGGGGGGAGGGTGCGTGAGTGAGTGGGCAACGGCCCGGCCCACGCTGCCGTTTAATTCACGAGTAATGCGCGGCGGCGGCGACGACGAAGGTCATTACGTTACGGGCTACACGTTACGCCGCGTGTCGCGTGGCCGTCCTCGCCCGAGGGGTTGCGTCGCCGCGCCTACCCCCCTCTCCCCTGGCGCCTCCTTCCAAATTGGGGGGGGGGAAGGGGGGCGCTCAACAAGTAGTCACGCATTTACGAAATCCCCGACCTTGGTGAAAAGCTCCGTGATGGAATCCAGGATGGTTGTCCTTCTCGCGTTTTCCAGGTGACGAAGCGTCACGCCCGCCTCTGACGTCAGGGATGACGTACTCCGTTTGGAGATGTGCCGTTCGAAGGAAGAACGCGATCCGAGCCTTCAGACGTTGCCATATTTCCTTCGATAAAAAACGAATTCGCTGGGAAAATTTTGAATGTTTAGCCTCCAATGTTTCAGACGATTTTGTTTACAATTTAATGTAAAACATCTGAAAATTTCGAGGCTAAATAGCGTAATTTTTTTCACGGATCAATGTTTTGTCGGAGGAGATTTGACAACGTCTGAAAGCTCATACGGCGTTCTTCCTTAGCACGGCAGTGTTATCCCTACAACTACTTGCTTTTCAGGGCTTACGTGGAAATGAATTGAGGTACGCCCTTACGTCAGAGACACGACGAAATAACAGTTGTATTTTTGAATTAGGAAGTGATACACCGGAAAAGGGGATGCTGATTTAACATTCTGGATGTAAAAAAGTGTGCGACAACTCACAAAACGCTGAGTCAACCGCCACAGCAGTTAGTTTTACATCTTGACATTGCTAAATTAACTGTAGTAGCGGTTAATTCAACGTTTTATGAGTTTTTGCACTTTTTTACATCCAGAATGTTGTATCACCATCCTTTTTTTTTTTTGGTGTACTTCTAGCTGACCTATCTGCTTCTGCACCTAGCACCTATCTGCAGGGGGAAACTACTGACATACGATGTGACTTGGCTCTAGTCTCTCGAAGTCAGTCAATTTCTATAGTTAAATTTATCAATTTTTCCCCCGACTTAAAATCAAACAAATTCCGCGGCACAATGATTCGGTGCAATTTTCTCTTTAAATGAAAACCCTTCTTGATTTCTGAAGAAATTCCGTAACATTTCCCTGACTTTCCTGATTTTCTTAGAATTCCCTGACTTGGTCCAGGTTCCCCTCACTTTCTTCACGCTGAAGTCCTGAGAAACCAGTCTCGTAGGTGGGGAAATTCATCCCTCTCAGTATCAAATCCGTTATGATATCATCAATGCAGTCTCGTTCACAAAATTACAGGTAGCGGAGGTACTTTTGAAAACACTTTATTACGGTTTCCGTGCAAGACCAAGGTTGGAATCCACACCCGCGTCGCAGATTTAGACAAAAGCTGCGGCAACAAAGGACGCGGGCTTATCCTCTCGAGCTTGGCGTCGCACGGTGGGTTGGACATGAAATTGTTGACCAAAATTCCGACGTCAAATCCACTCTTGAAAGCTACTTTACCAATTATTCCTGACTTTTTCGCCATTTTCCCTGACATTTCCAGATTTTCCCTGACTTTTCAAAAGTCCCTGGCATTTTTCGATTTTCCCTGACTGTGGCAAAGCTGTTCATATTGGCAAAGATAAAAACTTTTAAATTTTCCACACAAATACCACATTGCCAGAGAGACATAATGTGGAATAGTTTCCAAGCAAACTTTTTTGCTTTAGACGTCAAATTCACTCTTGAAAGCTACTTTACCAATTTTTTCTGACACTTTCGCCATTTTCCCTGACATTTCCAGGTTTTCCGTAACTTTTGTAAATTCCCTGTTATCTCCCGATATTCCCTGACTGTGGCAAACTGTGACTGTGATTATTTTTGCCAAAATGAACAGGTTTGTCATCGTCAGGGAATATCGGGAGATGACAGGGAATCTACAAAAGTTACGGAAAACCTGGAAATGTCAGGGAAAATGGCGAAAGTGTCAGGAAAAAATTGGTAATTTACCATTAGTAGCTTTCAAGAGAGGATTCGGCGTCTAGAGCAAAACAGTTTGCCTGGAACCTATTCCAAATTACGTCTCTTTGGCAATATGGTATTTGTGTGGAGAATTTGAAAGCTATTATCTTTGCCAATATGAACAGCTTTGCCACAGTCACGGAAAATCGAAAAATGCCAGGGAATTTTGAAAAGTCAGGGAAAATGGCGAAAGTGTCAGGATAAATTGGTAAAGTAGCTTTCAAGAATGAATTTGACTTCTAGAGCAAAAAAGTTTGCCTGGAAACTATTCCAAATCATGTCTCTTTGGCAATGTGGTATTCATATTCAATTGTTAGGAAATTCTAAGTACTCGAAAATGTCATAAGTAAAAATGATTTATGTTCATATTGGCAAAGATAAAAACTTTGAAATTTTCCTCATCACGTCCGACTTTTCCGATTTATCGTCCCCACTGTGCGGCGCGCTCCATCCCCCGTTTCGCTCCGTCCTTGCACCGCGGTGCTCCACCTTCCTCTGACTTGACGCTCGTCGCTCCCGTCTCCCGTCCTGTCGGCTGTCGGCGTCCCCGTCCATCCCTAAATAGGTCAGATGCCCGTATCAGTGAATCACTCACCCTCATCCGATCCGCCCCTCTCTCTCACCCTCCGTTCCTTGCCCCTGCCCCACCCCCACCCGCACTCCCACCGCCGCCGGCTCGCCCGCTCCCTCTCGCTTCCGTCGCCCGTAGCTTTCAACTCGTCCAGCTCTGACCTACAATCAGCTTTTATCGCTGTCGCATTTTCGCTCGGATTCGATATCCAGTAGATTGCCACGAAGAAAGTTCTTAGCTTTCGAATCATTAAAATGCAAAAAAGCACCCCGATGGAGATGTGATGTCTTGAATTTGACGCATTTCACGAGTAAGTGCACTGAAAAAAGCTCGCCTAAGTTCGGGCCGTATGGAATACGGTGTAGTTTGGTTCGCATAGTGAACATTCGGTCTGCACGGGTAAACATTTTGGAGTGAAATTTTGTGCTGGACTCTATGCTGCCTTGCTAAAGAAAAACTCCGTATGAGCCATCAGGCCTTGTCATATTTCCTTTAATAACCAACGAATTTTCAGGAAATATTCTGATTATTTTTCTTCCGATTTTTCAGACAACTTTGTTCCCAATTTAATCTAAAACATCGGAAAATTTTGAGGAAAAATACGAATAACTTTTTTTAAAAATACAAGTTTTATTCGGGGGAAATTTGGCAACTCACGAATGGTCATACGGCGTTCTTCCTTAGCACGGCAGAATACAGCGCCCAAAAACCCCGAATGATAAAAACACGGAGCGGAATTTATTTTCTCACGGTGCGCCTTCATTTCTCAAGATACTTCATGCTCCGCCGTGGAGTTAGTTTAGTTGTTTAACCCAATTTAACCTAACTCTTCTATTTGTAATATAAGTATTTGAAGGGAAACCGCCTTTACATACGTTTCAGTTTGGTGCGCCTTCATTTCTAAAGGCAATTAGCCTTGCGAATTCTCAGACATTAGTAATTTTGAAAATTTTGAATGAAATTTTACGCCGGAGTCTATAAAGCGCCTTAAAACCCCGAATGATATGAACACGGAGCGGATTCTACTCTTTAAGCGGACTGTCTTACGCTTTTACAGAGCTAATTTCAAGTCGCATTCATATCCTGCCGTGCTGAGGATGAACCGTGTGAACATTCGAGAGTTGCCAAATTTCTCCGGATAAAACATGTATTTTATAGGAAAAGTATGCTTATTTTTCCTTGAAATTTTCAGATATTTTAGGTTAAATTGCGGGCAAAATTGCCTGAAAGATTGAAGGAAAAATGGTAACAATTTTCCCGGTGAATTCGTTATTTATTGAAGGAGATACGGCAACGTCTGAAGGCTCATACGGCGTTCTTCAGGGTGTCTACTAAAACAGGCTGGTCAAAAATAAGTACTTTTACAGTACTTTTTCAGTAAATTCTCAAGAAATTCAGTACCTCCTCCAACAGAAAAATTCCGTACCTCGGTACCTCCATTTGACGAAATTCGAAAATTTAAAAAATTTGAGATTGCGACAAAAATGACAACACATTTCAAAAATTCCGGACCTGCTTTCTGCGGAATTTCCGCACTTTTTCAGTACGTCCGGACCGCTCTTAGAAAATCAGTACTATCTCCGGACTTTCCGGAAATTCCGGACTTGTAGACACCCTGTTTCTCCTTAGCACGGCAGTATTACTCGGAGTTTTTGGGCAATTTGCGGATCCAACAATTTGGCAACACCGAATTTCCTACACTTAAACCTGTGGAAATGTATCGATTCATAGGGGACCAGGTGCTCCGACAAGAATAATCGATTATTTAGCATAGGTTTAAATGGAGGAAATCCGGTGTTGCCAAATTGCTGGATCCGCCTCTGTTTTGGGTAAGTACATAGCAGGAAGAAAAAAAAAGCTGAGAAAGTGATGGTGTTACCTGGACGAACTGGTTGTTCATGTCTTGCCGCTCCTGGAGTGCGACAACGCTAGCAGTGGCGGTAGCGGTGGCGGTCGCGGCAGCAGCCACCATCGCGTTGTTCAGTGCCGACGTCGGGGGGTGGTTGTACTCTCCTCCATATCCACCCACGCCGCTACCCCTGTCAAACAGAAACCGCAAACCAACCCTTATAAATCCATCTCGCACGACTGTGAAAACCACTAGAAATCCACAAATTAATTCATGTTTGCTATGTATGAAGCCACTCAGGACGTCGTCTCCCTCGCCCATTGGCGGATCCAGCAAATTGGCAACATTGCCTTCTCTCCGTTTAAACCAATGGAAATATATCGATTTTGGAGGGGCCAGGTGCTCCGGCAAGAATCGATTATTTAGCATAGGTTTAGATGGAGGAAATCCGGTGTTGCCAAATTGCTGGATCCGCCTCTGCCCTCACCAAAAAACGTAAATCCATTCCAATGTTGCCAAATTTCCCTTCGCAAATGGCATATTCACCAGGAGAATCTTTGATGTTTCTAACTGAAAATCTGACTGAGTTTTCCTCAGATCTCATGCAAAATTCAGATCAATTTTCAACAAAACTTGCGCTGCTATCTTTATTTAAAAAATGGTATTGTTTCAGTCAATTTTGCAACCTTGGAATGGAGCTACGCTCCTCCGTCCGGGCCACGACGAATAGACCGACGATATATTTTATTTTCCGTCAGGAAGTCAGTCGCTGCGTCGTTTGGCGTCACCCTACAGATTCTTCATTACATCGAATTGCATCAAAAAAATATAAAATCTCTTTCAATGCCATCAATGAGAATGAATCTATATAAATACATCGCTTTTCTGTGACTCAACAGAACAGCGTCTATCAACAGTAACAGTGCACCAAACAGTCACCGAGGCCGAGCCAAGCGCCGCGGGTTGGACACCCCGAAAACAGCATCCAACGCGTTCATGCTCGTGTAAAATCATATCGGAAGGGTAGTTCATCCCTAAATCATCAACAGAGGGCGATCGCCGGCTTCATCAACGTCAGGAGCATTATTGATTGGACGTGATTATTTCCCTGCGGCCCTCTCTCTCCCTCCCCCTCCTCTCGCGATCACCCCTTCACGGCACTTACTATGGCGTCAATTGTTGAATGGGGCTCGTAAAAACTATCCCCTCCCCTCGCATTGGCCGGTGGCGGGCATCATTGAACGCTATTTACTTTCGTATTGTTCGGGTGCTTCGCCAACTTTGCCTCCTAATGACGCCGGGTTGATTTAATCACTTTTAAAGATTTTCGCGCGATTTTCGCTCGTTTAATACATGAAGGATTCATTCGTACGCTAACCAAGAGTTAATAATTAACCCACTGCTCACTTAATAGGGATATTGGATATTGGTCTGGAAACGAAGGCTCGTGCTGCCGTGATAAGGAAAGAGGCCGTATAAGCCTTCAGGCGTTGCCAAATTTCCTTTGATAAGACACGAATTTCTTGGTGAATAACTTATGAATATTTTCCTCCCAATTTTTCAGATAATTTTGTTTGCAATTTCACCTAAAGATTCTGAAAATTTTAAGGAAAAATATTCATAACTTTCCTCAAAAATAAACATTTTATCGAAGGAAAATTGGCAGATATTTTAGATTAAATTGCGGGGAAAATTGTCGAAAGGATTTGAGGAAAAATGTTAACAATTTTCCCGGTAAATTCGTTGTTTATCGAAGGAGATATGGCAACGTCTGAAGGCCCATACGGCGTTCTTCCTAAGCACAGCAGTGTTGACCTCAGGCGTGGAAACCGCGAGTGGTGTCTCAATCGGTTGAAAACGCGGCCACAAGGAAGACACAGACAATAAAGCATAACAATAGATAAGGTTAGCGGCCACCAATGAGAAATGAGGAGCCGTATTCGAGTGTCGTCGATAGCGGAAAAACTAACGCCCCGGATTGCCACATATCGCCCGACAGTCACCCAACACGCAACACCCATGTACTGGTTTTCCATTAATCCATTAATCGAATTTCGGAATCATTGAAAATTCAATAATCGATTACTAATCGAATTAGAATTGAACATATTTATGCTAAAAGATACTATCTGCACAGGGATTGCTTGTAACATAGTTCTTTTCAGCATAAATACGTCCAATTTGTATCGTGTTTTCCTGAAATCCTGTTTTTCACTCGGGAAGAAGTGGCTTGGATCCAGAGTCCAGGCTCTTAAAAAATTGACGAGAAAAAATACTTTTGTTTAAATCGGACATTTGCTTGAATCGAGAGCTAAGACTCTGAGTTCAAGCGGATTTCCACTAGTTTCAAGAAAAAATCCGATTGGAACAAGAAAATTTTTCCTAGTAAATTTTTCAAGAGCCTGAACTCCGGATCTTTTTTTCCAGCGTTCCATAAAATATAGGCTTTTTACGGCTTTCGACTGACATTTTCGGAGATTCTGTGCCGATTTGAAGAAGTCTGACTCGATAACTGGAGAGTTTATGATTTTTGATGAATCGGAGGTACACTGAAAGAAAAAGTCGCTTGGATCTAGAGCCCAGACTCTGAAAAAACATTGACAAGAAAAAATACTCGATTCATTCGGAATTTTTGCTTGAATCAAAAGGAAATCCGCCTAGATCAAGAGGCTCGACTCTTCGATTCAAGAAAAAATCGTATTGAATCAAGAGTATTTTTTCTTATCAATGTTATTAAGAGTCTAGACTCTAGATCCAAGCGACTTTTTTCCAGTGTAAGTAATCGATTGAATACGCTGTTACTCAAAATCTTAAGAATTGATAAATTAATCGAATCGAAAGACACTCGACCGATCGATTCATGAATGGAAAAACTCTATGTGAATATGACGGTCCCCCAGGCGGGACCCGGGCGGGGTGAGATGGGCAGTTGGGCACGATATGGGCAGCGCGGTTTATAGGATGAGCCACGAATGTCACTTATTATCGGCCTAGGCCAGGATTTGATATCGGTTATTAAAACAACCTTGAGAAACGGCGGCACGGAGCGGCGCCTCGTCATGGAACAGACGTTGTCGCGTCGCCCCGGGAAAATTCCGAGGTATTTTAGCCTTTGCTAACACTCTAAGGCAGACAGTAACAATATACAGTGCGTTCCAAAGTCACATGTCAACTTCTTCAAAATCCTGAAAAAAAAACTCCGGCCGTGGGAGCCGCAATTACGGGCTATATAGACATACCGTCCGTTCCGGGCTCAAAGGCCGAAAATTCCGGCTGCTGGATGCGTAGCTTCGATTGCTCCGGGTTCAGAGGCCGAAGTTACGGCTCCAGCAGCCGGAATTTTCGGCCTCTGAGCCCGGAACGGACGGTATGTCTAT